AAGCAAGCCTCCTGTTCGCTTCAAGCTGCCTGGCTGCCGGCTGCCATCTTGTTTGGCAGTTAATTTGCATATCGCCCTGATTAGCCAATGGGAAGGGTAGCAGAGATATGGCTAATTACCATGTTTCTCTATTATTAGATAGGATTATTATAGATGTACATGTGTATAGACATTCATCAGGTGAAAATACAATGTGAAACATCAACAAAATAATCTAAAGCATTAAGACATTAACAGGAATTGTGCAGGGCCTTCCAATGTTCCATTTTCCCATCTAATCATAAATGGATCGATTTACTAATTTCTAGATAGAAAGATAAAATATTGCAAAGACACATACTCTCCTGAATTAATCTAAAATTAACTTATTGAAAGTGAAAATTATAGCAGGATTTTTGGAAAACAAAAGTATTCTAATTTTATCTAAAAATAAATAAGTGGAGCTAAACATAACAGGTCTTAAATTATTATCATTTATCTTGTGTGGTATAATTAAAAACCAAAGCTAACATTTTTTTATTCTTATCACATTTCTAAGGTATTTGCATTTCCATAAAGAAGCAACGTGGATTTGAGTTCTGATTAGGAATCTGAACCTACTAGGCCCTTGAAAATCACTACAAAATCCTAGACCTAAAATGTATAGAAATCTATTTACAGTCAAGTCATGGAGTGATTCATATAGATGTGATCCCTATGTTTGTATTGCTTGCTCTTTAAATAGTGGTATGGCAACCCATGAGTGCGCGCGCGCACACACACACACACACACACACACACACACACACTCAATCAATCAAATGACTGGGTGGAATTAGAAGAAAAGCAGACATCGAGATGGTGACAATAGGAAGAAAAAGGAGGATGGAGGCACTTCTGCCTTGTGACAGTCCTCCTCCTACTTAATATCAACTACCGTTCATGAGCCTGAACAGCCCTAAGAAGCACTTGCTGCAATAGTCCATTGTGCAGGCAGGAGAGAGACAGGCCCTGACAGGCACAATGACTTATCCAGGATCAAGAAGAGGTAAGAATGAGGGGTTGAGTCTGAGTCAAGGTCTATCTCCTCAAATCTGGGACCCTGGCTGTAGCCAGACCTTCTAGGGGCTTTGGAGAGGGTGTGTTGGTGTCACTGTGTACACTGTTGGTAGTTCATGGAGAAGGTGGGTGAGCAGTCAGCTACCTGTATAGCTGTTATTAGGTGAGGGGAGTCAGGGAGGCAAACCCAGGAAGTGAAGTCACTTCCTAATAGAACTCGGAACCCCCGTAACCAGGCACCCACTTTCTAGCAACTGCCCAACTGCCACTCACTTGGCAAGAGACAGTTGACAGTTCAACATGTTCTCTTGTTGTGTTCCCAGTTATCGGGGCTCTGGTTCCCGAAGACCCTGCAGGGAGAGTTGTTCCAGACTCTGTAGACGGTTCAACACTCGTGCCCGACATCTCTGGCCGTTTTCAAGAAGATCCCCTCAGGTAAGAGAAGGCGGCCTGGGTCAGACCCTTTACACCAGGCCAGCCTCCTCTGTGAGCCATCCCTGTGCAGCCCACATCCCTCCCTTTCACCTAGTGGGACGAGGAACCTGAAGGGAGAACCGTGGGGCAGGAACAGTTTTTGAAGCAGTGGATCACCTAGAGGTCTTGCTGTGATCACACCCCAGGACAGGGCAGGCAGGTGGAGATGGGCTTCCAGAGGGGTCCCTTATCTGTGCCAACGGGAGTCCTAGGCTCTCAGGCTGTCCCACCTTTTCCTCCAGTGGAGGTCTCAGCAGATCACACAGTGTGCATGGCTGGAGTGGAGGATTACAGGGGTAGAGAACCAGCAAAACAGGGCTCTGAGGCTTTTCCCCTGGTGACTGGGAACTGTCTTTACAGAGCTCCTCAAAGGAGACTGGACCGGAGCCGACAGATGGGGTCCTCAACTCCATGCCCCTGCAGGAGGCACAGATACCTGAAACAAGTATGCAGCATGACCTCAGGGTGAGTCTAGGGGCCCAGTTGACCCAAACTCCAGAACCCCAGGAAGTCAACGGGACCTGGGTTCCAGAAGGCTCCCTGCTACTCCCCTGAGATCCCTCCTAGCGTCCAGTTTTCAAAGAAATCTGGGTCCTTGTCTCCTGCAGGTCAGGAGCTAGGGTCTCCCTGGGCTGCACAACATACCAAGAGGGGGACCTGTTATCAGGGCTGGCGATCCATCTCTTCACTGCTGTGGGACCTGGACATCATCTCCTTCTGTTGCCATATCAACCATGTTGCCCTGAACATCCCACTTGTCCTAATAGCCTAACCCTCCCACCCCAGGAAAAGCCTCTGTGTTCTCATCTT